AGTAACACACTACAACGGCAGGGAATCAAATCCCGCAGTGCCAGACGTGTTCCGCTGCTGAAGCCAGTGCATGTCCAGGCCCGTCTGAAGTTTGCCAGAGAGCACATGGATGATACAGCAGAGGATTGGGAGAATGTCATGTGGTCAGATGAAACCAAAGTAGAACTTTTTGGTATAAACTCAACTCGTCGTGTTTGGAGGAAGAAGAATACTGAGTTGCATCCCAAGAACACCATACCTACTGTGAAGCATGGGGGTGGAAACATCATGCTATGGGGCTGTTTTTCTGCCAAGGGGACAGGACGACTGATCCGTGTTAAGGACAGAATGAATGGGGCCATGTATCGTGAGATTTTGAGCCAAAACCTCCTTCCATCAGTGAGAACTTTGAAGATGAAACGAGGCTGGGTCTTCCAACATGACAATGATCCAAAACACACCGCCCGGGCAACAAAGGAGTGGCTCCGTAAGAAGCATTTGAAAGTCCTGGAGTGGCCTAGCCAGTCTCCAGACCTCAACCCCATAGAAAATCTGTGGCGGGAGTTGAAAGTCCGTGTTGCTCGGCGACAGCCCCAAAACATCACTGCTCTCGAGAAGATCTGCATGGAGGAATGGGCCAAAATACCAGCTACTGTGTGTGCAAACCTGGTAAAGACCTATAGTAAACGTTTGACCTCTGTTATTGCCAACAAAGGTTATGTTACAAAGTATTGAGTTGTATTTTTGTTATTGACCAAATACTTATTTTCCACCCTGATTTACCAATAAATTCTTTACAAATCCTACCATGTGGATTCATGGATTTTTTTTTCACATTCTGTCTCTCACAGTTGAAGTGTACCTCTGGTGCAAATTACTGACCTCTGTCATCATTTTAGGTGGGGGAACTTGCACAATCGGTGGCTGACTAAATACTTTTTTGCCCCACTGTAGATGCACATCAGGTTACGTAGAAGGTTGCGGCATCGTGCTAAAATGGTTTTCCGGTTATGGTGTAAGTTACGACGCAGATCTAACGCAGGAGTATAATTCATGTGTTAGCCCAACGATACTGTGTGCTCCATTCTTTCTAATGACTAGCAGAGGGCACCAACTATGACCATGAGCTCTGGGTAGTGACATAAAGAATGACACTGCAGAAACCAGCAGGAATTAGCTTCCCTCAAAGGCTGGCTGGTCTCTCCCTGGTCTCATAGGCTGGTCATTTGGAATGGAGTGCTGACAGATGTTTTTTACAGACACTGCTGTTGAGGAATAAATCAACAGGAATCCCCTATCTTAATGGTGCACTCCACCCAATCAAAGGTAGATTAAGGTCCAGTCGAAAAGCCATCATCACCTACTCGTCCCTACAGCTGTAGGGAAAGGTGACTTTTTGCTCAGTGACTTTTGCATGAGTCATGAATAGAAGTAAGAGGGAAATGTGAATGAGTGAATAGCCTAAAAGCAGTGACTAAAATAGCAAAAAGCTTCAAGTAAGTCCAGCCTGTGATGCATTGCTCTCAAAGTGGTACTAATACGTCAATGTACCTAAATGTAGGAAATGGAACTATGTGGAACTATGGAAATGAATAATTCATTCAACAACAAAAAACAAGTACTGTGTTCCCCTTTAAGCAATAAAAACAACCTTTTCTGATCTTCATACATCAATAAATCATGTTATTACACTCCTTTTTGTGATGTGGCTTATATTGCTAGACAGTTTACACCCTACATGCATTAATTACGGACAAATTGTGGATGGACCTTTCAAAAAACAAGCAAAATAACATTGAATTTAAAGAATACATAAACTTGGACACTTGAGTTTGGTTGCTTTTGGTAACCCTTTTTTTTAATAGTTCATTCATTCATAGCTTGTAGCTTGCCATCGCCAGTGTGTGAATGTGTGTGTGAATGGGTGAATGACTGAATGTAGTGTGAAGCGCTTTGGGGTCCTTAGGGACTAGAAAATGCAGGCCATTTATTTCGATGATCATCAAACATCAGTAAAATATGAGGCAAAGAAGAAATAACTGGGATGAGACTATAAACATGTTAAAGCAAAAATTAGGAACAAACAATAAGAGAATATGACCCTGAAATGACACTGGACATGCCTACAGGTAAACTGACCTCCCTGTCAAGTGTTTTGCGGCCAGCCATAGCCTTCACTTGTGTAATGATGGTCTTGGCCACTGTTTTAGATAAGAATTTATTACAATGCATTGCTTAATCCTTAATTACACTGTTTAAACACCAATAAATGTCTTTTAATAGGCGCACTTAAGGGTTATGTCACATATTATTTTTAACGTCAAGCTGCTCTGTTATATCTTAATTGCCCCTTGGGGATAAATAAAGTCTCTCTGATTCTGATTTTAAGTGTCACAACATAATTTTCCCTTCCAGTGCATAAATCTGGCTCCAGTTTTTAAAACCCTTCTCCAACAAGGTTTCAAAAACATTCCCAGGTCACATGATCCTCACAAGAACCTCACCACACACATAATGTATAATGTATGTCATTCCCTGAGTATCCATTAAGCCTTGTAGTGCAGTATGTGCACATCACTCTGGCAAATGAAGTCACTTTTTATGTCTGCAGAAGAGCATTTATTTTCTGGCGGTGTAGTCACTTAGAGAGTAAATGGGAGAGAAAAACAGTGGAGGAAAGAAGGGGGGGGGTTGTGTTGCTGGGAGTTGGAACCCTATTAGTTAGGTTGCTTAATATTTACGCTAAGTACTCTTTAAAATACCAGAATAGGGAGGATGGTGTAGGTTTTGAAGGATATAAAAAAAACAACAACAAGCAATAGAATAATATTAAACACAAAGTGAACCCGTCTTCCTTCATTAAATAGGTTCTTTTAGATGTTAAGGAGGAATTGACTTAACCAGGCTGGCGGAGAATGAAGACAACCGGACACCTGCTGCAGATGGGGAATCAGTGAACTTTTATTGAGACAGAGACAACCTCTCAACACAGCTCACATCAGGAGATTCCAAAGATTTGCTGTGAGAGTGGATATATATATTGTCCAAAACTACAGGAAGAAGTGCTGCACTAGCAGAAAAACAACTCCATAAAAGGAAATCGGCCTTGGGTGTTCTAGCCTCTTCGCTTGCAGATATCTTGCACCTGCAGGATGAGGCGATCGCTTCTTATCGCTCTCAAGGCCAAAGTCGTGAGCACATTTTTATTACACAGTTGCACAGTAACTTTAAAGCTGAACAATGTTTAAAGCTGAATAATGTTTAATCAGATTATATTTTCTTCAAATCCCCCTTTTGACCCATCTTAAAATGGGTCAACACACAAAAATAAGTAACATTCAAAGGAACACAGAGACGTGTCAAAGCCTGGCTCGAAAAACTCCTCGGGTCTTATCATTTGTCTTTATCTGTCATTGCAGATGAGGAGAAAAGAGTCCAGGCACCACCCTGCCCAGGGGTCGGCTGCAAGCAGTCTCGGTTCCAGACGAAAGCAGTAACAGCTGTCCTGCACACAAGGATACAACGAGTCAGTGCAACCAGGGTAGTGACACAAAATTAACAGTTCATGTAACACAGCAACCAAAAAGCATAAGTAATGATAAAAATGTGGAGAGTACAGAGTATACTATAATAATGAGAGATATAAACGTGAAAAATGTGAAAGAATAAATCAACAGTAAAATAAACCCAGAACGGTAACTGCTAAGGACATTCAAAAGTAAATATGGTAAAACGTGAGGAAGGGGTGTGGAAAAAACAATTTATATCCAGTGGTCGGAGTACACATTTGCTCAGGCTTAAGTCCGGAGACCCTGAGAACATCGCTTAACCCTCACAACCCGACCAGACACAGTTCAACCAGATATATCCTTCAAGAGGAAGTGGGTGAGGGAAACAATTGATAACAAGCATAATACAAAACACCACAGAGAAACAACCATTCTAGAAGCATTTAACAAGAGAAAGACGATAATGTTCGTCACTCATCACGATCAGAGTCTTCATCATCCGTTGGCGAGGAGGTGGGAAGTTGACTAGCCAATAAAGGCATCTGCAGGGCGAGATCCTTATCCTCCGGAGTGAGAGCTGTAACAATCAGTCTCTGGAAGAGGGATCGAATGCATGGAATACAACAGAACATCTTTGCCTGCCTGTCATTTCAGGGGAAAGGGCCAAGACATGTTTACTTAGCTTGTAAGTCTTCTAATAGAAGATGATGGGGCACAGAAACGTGGTCCAGTTCCCCCCACCTCGCCAAGGGCGTGTTCTAGGAGTTAAAGAGCAACAAAAAGTATCAGTGACACAACTTTAAATGAGCTTTCAGCGATTAAAACTATTGCAATGTAAAATGTAAATCTTAAAAACTCAAGCCAATATAAAAGCAAAATCATAAAAGATGTTAAAAATAGAAAAATAAAAATGTTTAGTTCAGTATGAAGAACACCCCCTTTTGTAACCAGCCGGCTTGTAGGTTGAGCGTTGGCTCCCTCAAGTGGTTGGTGATGCTGTTGCAGCTCCTTCTGACAGGTCCTTCTGCACCTCTCTCAAGGTTCTTCCTGGTTCGGTGGCAGCAGCGCACTGTGTGTAATGAAACCAGGTGTCACCTTTCCCTTCGAGCCTGACAGCGTGGGAGGTCCGCTCTGTTATGCGGTAAGGGCCTGTCCAGCGAGGCTCAGCCCACTTTCTCTTTGTGACTTTCAGGAGGACGTAGTCTACTCCAGGTGCAGCCGCCTCCTTCGCTCTTGCTGGTTTCTTTCAGCGACCTGTGAGGAATACTGGGCAACAAAACTGCGGAGCATGTTATAATATGTCCTCTGGATCGAGGTCGAATCAGCTTCATCCGACATTAACAGGCGAGAGGAGGGGCCAGGAAAAGGCCTGCCATGCTCCAACTCAAATGGAGTGTAACCAGAGGTTTGATTTACTGAGCATCTTATGGACATTAATGCAAGAGGCAATGCCTTAACCCAATCTAATTTGGTCTGTGCACAGATTTTAGCCAATTTAGTTTTTAGAGTTTGATTCATCCTTTCCACTTTCCCCTGGGATTGGGGGTGGTAAACTGAGCCAAACTTATGTTTCAAACCTAATGCGGCTTCAACCTCTGCAGATCGTGGTTCCTGAAATGTGAACCATTGTCCGCCTTATGACCTCGGGAAACCCATGCTGTGGTATATAATGATTAATCAGACACTTCACCACAGTTCCACTGTTTTCACTTGCTGTCGGCCAGGCTTCTGGCCAACCTGAAAATGCATCCACAGCCACCAGCAGGTACCTGTAACTACCTACTCTGTCCACCATGTCTGTGTAATCAATGATTATTTCTTTTCCTGGACAAAATGGAATGTCATCTGGAGGAACGGCTGTGCAAGAAAAGATTTTTCTTTTTTTGGCTGCAAAGCCCGAGAAAAACATCTGTATATTTGCTGTAATGCTGTTCAATACTGAAACCTATTTAGATTCAATTGATTACCCAACTGTTTCCTTTACCGTACGCTACATTTTATGCTATGGACACAATACTGTTTTATACAATTTAAAACAAAATATGTCAAGGGGACTGGAATTTCCCTTGATATGTGTATTATATGAATTAAATATCTCATAACATGTACAAAAACAAACATGACTTCTAAAATTTCTGAAACGGTCCCTTTTAACCGATTTCCATATAAGAGTAAACTAGCTAGCAATCAACTTTAAAGATATCAAGCTCAGACTGAAGACTATATTTTGATTTTAAAAACACTTTATAGCTTCCTTATAGCTGATGTTGTCTGTTTCTCTACTGGGGTTTCCTGGTTTATTACCACTAGGCTATGCTGTGCTCCCAGGCCTCTCTCTGCTCCGGCCTTAACTCACACCCATCCAGAAAAAGATGAGTCTTCACACCTCTTCTGCAGCCTTGCCTCACTCCTCCCTTCCTATCACTCTGTTTCCCCCCCTCCTGGTTTTATAGCTTAGCTCCAACACCCAGCTTTTTCCACTCGCCCTCTTCTCATCGTCATCCTTCATTTCTCTGCTTTGCCGCTCTCCTTTCTTCTCACTTTCTTCTCACTTTCTTCATTGCACTTACATATGTCTACACTTTTCTCTCTCCCCCTTTTTTCTGGAACAGGATACCATTGACATGGGTTCCAGTTCCAGAAACATCAAGATGAAAAGGCAAGGCGTAATCTGGCACAGCAAGGTCAGAGGCGACAGAAAGCTGTTGTTTTAACTGTATAAACGCCTGTTCTGCTTCTGTAGTCCATGATAGGGGAGCAGATAGGTTTCTCATGCCTTGTTCATTTACCAAAACGCGCAGAGGGGAGGTAAGGGCAACATAGTCTGGGACATAGGTCCTGCTGTAACCAGTCAGACCCAAAAATCACAACATGTCTTTTACATTTACAGGTTTTGGATGGTGCAAAATCGAGTTCCTGTGTTAGGCGAGTGTAACGCCATTGTTGGCCTCTAAATGTAAATGAGCTCTAAATCTGGACGTGATTCCTTTGGATTCCTTTATACATGTCATGCAGTCATGATCGTCAAGCCTGTCTGAGCCATCCCGTCGGTCAGAAGAACACAGCATATGGATCAATAAATGTCCTGGCGAATCATGTGTGCTGCTCGCTTTTATAGTGAGATTTGCATATGTTGTGTGGTTATGTCCGCTACAATGGTCGTGACCTGGTGATTGGTGTGTAGAATAGTGTCATGTGAGAGTGTAAGCTTCTCGCAGTCCCTTATCATGATAGCGCAAGCTGCTACTGCTCTCAGGCAGGCCGGCATTCCCACAGGCAGCACCTTTGAGTGGGGGAGGTCAGCACTCCCTTTAATGCATTTAAAGAGGCAGTCATTTCTCTGGACCACAGTATTCGAGGAGGCTTGTCTTTTTTTACAACAGTCACGCAGAATGTGGTCATGAAAAGAACAGTCTGGTATCCACTGTCTGCAATAGTTCACCATGCCTAATAAGGACAACATTTCCTTCTGTGTAGTGGGCCGAGGGACAGAGGTCACAGCTTTGACCCTGTCTGCAGTCATGGAACGTTTTCCGTGAGACAGTGTGAATCCCAAATATTGAACATAAGTCTGACAGTACTGCATTTTCTTTGCTGATGCTTTGTGGCCAGTCTGTTGGAGGTGCTGGAGAAGCATGTGTGTAGCAGTTTGACATAGTTTTTCACTTTCAGCACAGAGGAGGAGGTCATCCGTACAGCCCTGGATTCGAGGAGTGAAGCTGTCCAGGGTAGCACGGACCACCATTGAGAAAGCAGCAGTGCTGTCAACCATGCCTTGGGGCAAAGAGTCCAAGTGTACTCTTATTTCTATGTGTGAATGCAAATAACGGCTGTGTGTCTTCATGCACAGGTACTGAGAAAAAGGCAGAGCATAAATCCACCACAGTAAAATGTGTATGTAATGCATGTCAATATGCTGTGAACATCTGAAACGAGCGGCGGCAGAGACATGCTTGACTGCATTAATTTGCCTTAAGTCTTGTATGAAACGCTATACGCCAGGTTTGTTAGGCTTTGGCACAGGATTGACAGGAGTGTGGGCTTTATTACTCCTGTAGTCAATAAATCTCCTATCATGACATCTAGGGCTGCGGCTTTTTCGGCAGAAATGGGACATTGCTTGACATATACTGGCTTGTTGTGTTTTAATAGGTGTGTGTGATAAAGTGTACAGTCAATAAATCCTATATCATTCTCATTTTTTGACCATAATGTCATATTCTGGTATTCAGCTGGCAAAACCATTGTTTGACCTTCACTTGTGTGAGCAGTTATCATGTGGTTGAATCAGTGTGAGAGAAACAAAAATGTGGGTGGTTTCGCAGTTTCCCATAAACACACCCAGTGATTAAATTTAGCTTTGCGGCCTGCGTGCTTATCTGCTTCCTTTCTGTGTCTCCCCCTGCTCATCACATCTGCACCTGCTGCTGCTGAGTTGGCTTCTCCCTCTTTCTATTCTGCCAAATTATTCCTCAGTTACCACTACTCCCCTCATTCTTTCCCTTTTCTTCCATTCAGTAATCACCTATATTTATCAATCGGCAGAAAACTTGTCACAATTTGACTTTTCTAACCCCTAAATTTGTCATATCTTCACTGGTTTGTCAGACCAGTGTTTTTTTTTTTTTTTTTTTTTTTTTTTTTTGGCACAGTGTGTGACATAGAGTACCGGACAAAAAGGATGTTGAGTTCATTCTCTGCTGAGGGTCCAGCTGACACAGAGGATGTTCATTCTCCATCATGCATAAGGCAGAGAAAACATAAGCTGTTATCAGTGTCAGCAAACATTTCACCCTTTGTGTTAAATGAAATACAAAAATTCATTTTTGCTCTGGGTGTCTGCGGCTGCTGGAAAACTGAGCTAAATTTGCACCTCTAGCTTGTGGTTGCCAGTTACCTTGACTGGAAGAGCTCCGCTACTTTTATCTCTCCGTCCTCTGAAACTTCCTCGCTGTGCTGGAGCGGATGATCCTGCATACGTTAGTTTCTCACTTTCCTCTGAGACTTCTACATCAAAATTCAACTTTATCTTAACACTTTTAGCTTTCGTGGTAGTATCTGCACTGGCCTTCAGTTTTACTGACCTGTTTTCTGGCGATTATCGTTCGGGATAAGGGCTCCGGAAATAATTAGAATGCATTGAACTTCTTAAGTTGTAAACAAAGTCAGTCACGTAAGTACTTCCGCATGTTCTGGATATGTGATCATGGACGTCTTCACCGATTCGCGGACGTAGGTTACACGTAACCGGAAGTGGGAGGCGCACTGAGCCGTTATTTGAGACTTTATATTTTATTTTATTATTTTTGGCTTTACAGGTAATTTAGATTTTTTATCGGACCTGTCTGTGGTCTTTGAATAATTCTGACCCATGTTCAGTGATTTCCAGAGAGTTTATTCGTTAGTAGTGGATAACCTTTATTTGTGTAACGGCGGGTGTATGTTAAGCTTCGCTGCTTTAAACTTGCTGGAAAATCTTCACCTGTTCATGGGTGTAAGCTGTTTCTTCATTGCGTGTATGTGCGTTTGTAGGTGGGTTAACTTAACTTTTTGTTTGCTTATGGGGCCGGGTGGTCCAGGCCCGTAGCCACCTGTATCAACCCACTTAAGAGATTTATTTAATATCATTTTCATCACAATCACACTCTGCCGACTGAAGTGCCGGTCTTACTCAAACACAATCTATCTCTTCTATATTAAAATCCAGCCGAACATCAAACATTCAGCGTAGTCATTCAAATCCTTATTTATACTATTATAATCAACAAAACCAGCGTTTTTATTACGAGCTTGTATCATTATTTGCAAATCCCACAAAACACACTAAACAGGAAGCAAAAGTCCTCTGTGTAGTTCACAGCTCATTTGCATGTTCACACACAGTCTAAAAATAGCCCTCAGCGCCGCCGCTCCACGTTACACACAGGGTCACACAAAGCTCAGACAAGACTCTATTATTTTATATTACAAAGACGTCTTATATTTACAACCACTGACAGGCCTGACAGATTCAGCACCTAACAAATTTCGACAAATTTAATATAACGGGTCTCACCGAAGAAAGATAACTTTTTTGTAATCAATCAAACAGTATCTGTTACTTCTGGGAACAGTTTCTGTCCTAATTTCCCTACCAAACTACCCGAGCCTTCAACTCAATATCCAGGGACTCAAACCCAACATTTCTTTCATACTTTTTCAGCTGTTTTATTGATTTTAACAGGAGAATTTGGGCCAGCTGGGTTTCTGCCTCTGTTAGGCACTAACAGCTGGGGCGCTGCTTTAAAGGTGAGTCAGCACTGAAATATCCCTTCAGGTGTTACCAAGCTTCTACCAAACCGGAGTCTGGCGGGTACCTTGCCTAGAGCTTCCTGATAGGGGTGCTAGTTGGTTGTCACCTTGTTCACACGTCTCATTCACACTTCATACATTACCTGCAGTCACTCATTACCCTCCTTATGTATGTAATAAATGTGTAAAAAATTCTATGTGTGGTGTATTATTTTAACCAAAAGAGGAACCTAGTTCCTTTAATTGTGTAATCTGTGAACAACGGAGAACCAGACTGTCCTGCCCAGTGTTCCACAGCAAGCATTCAGCGTGTATTTATGTGTGTCAAATATCAAACAGAACATCAAAACATTTAAAACACTAAAATCATCGGGGTTTTAAGAAGAGATCCGTTTTCTCCTATTGATCAAAGGGACCCCTCCTTTGGACTCCAACCAGTACTTTTCCTTTTTAAGTTTTAGAGGATCTTTTCTAATAAAGTCCTCTGGGCCTTCCTAACCCTTCTGTAGTTTAGAGAATATTACTAAAAAATATTCTCAAGGCCTTTAACCTTTTAATTGTTTAGAAAGGCGTTACTAATAAACCCTTTCAAGGTCCCAGACCTGCACTGAGGTATGTATCCGACACCGGAGAGCAACCCGTCGGCTGCAACCGTGGTCAGACCTCAGTTCACTCTTATCTTTATTCACTTATTCACTTATTTCTTATTCACTTATCTCTTATTCACTTATCTCTTATTCACTTGTCTGATTCTCAACAAGCCTTAAGTAAGCCAGACAATTTTGGTTATGAATTACTAGGAGTTTGGACACTAAGTATTTTATAATGTTCAATATAGCAGAAATAAAAGGTCTGCTTACCTTGTTTTTGTGTGCGCGCAACTTTTTGTCCAAACTCTGTTCACTCAGACCACGGCCGATTGTCCTCCCGTCCGTTCCAGTTGACCTGGACCGGATCCTGTTCGTGACGCCAATTGAAGGATATAAAAAAAACAACAACAACTAGAATAATATTAAACACAGAGTGAACCCGTCTTCCTTCATTAAATAGGTTCTTTTAGATGTTAAGGAGGAATTGACTTAACCAGGCTGGCGGAGAATGAAGACAACCGGACACCTGCTGCAGATGGGGAATCAGTGAACTTTTATTGAGACAGAGACAACCTCTCAACACAGCTCACATCAGGAGATTCCAAAGATTTGCTGTGAGAGTGGATATATATATTGTCCAAAACTACAGGAAGAAGTGCTGCACTAGCAGAAAAACAACTCCATAAAAGGAAATCGGCCTTGGGTGTTCTAGCCTCTTCGCTTGCAGATATCTTGCACCTGCAGGATGAGGCGATCGCTTCTTATCGCTCTCAAGGCCAAAGTCGTGAGCACATTTTTATTACACAGTTGCACAGTAACTTTAAAGCTGAACAATGTTTAAAGCTGAATAATGTTTAATCAGATTATATTTTCTTCAGTTTTAAGTTTATTAGATTGATCAGTATTGCTGAACTATGAAATTTTTTTTTTTTGCATACAGGTATAACAGAATAGCTTTAGTGTAGTTGTTGTTTTAAACTTGAGTATGAACTTATACAAAATGCAGCAAGATATTAAAAAAAAACAGTTTTGTTGATTAAAAAACACTATATCGGATTCATATCGGTATCGGCAGATATCCAAATTATGATATCGGTATCGGTATCGGACATAAAAAAGTGGTATCGTGCCATCTCTACTCTCCACACAGTTCCCGTGAATGTAAAGTGGGGCCGGGTCTGCTCTGCCCTTCCTGAAGTCCAAGATAAGTTCTTTAGTTTTCG